CCCCTTTTCATTGCGTCGTTATGGAATACATGCTACTTGTTGCTCGCTGTAATTCTACATCATACACATAAAGTTGACTACGAGCGGTATTGCAGAAAGTCAGAATGGTTCACACCGCTCAATTATATTTTTCTCCTAACCACTTTAGAACTCATAATAATCTTATCAGCTTACATTAATTATATCAGTAAGTATCTTGCAAAGATAGAATATGTGTGTCTAGAGAGAATTCATTAGCTCGATAGAAAAAAGTTTTTATAAAAAAATAATTTTTTGGGGCTTTTATGTAATATTACAAACGTAAAATTTATATAAAGCGAAATATAAAAATCATTAAATATAATTTTGAGATTTTATCAAGATTCCTTTCTCAGAGAAAGAAAATGTTTTGTTTGAGGATTAAGATATTTATACTGTGAACCTTAAGTAATAACTGCACTTACATACTAAATTCTCAAAAGTTATTATTCTTTATTGCGATCTACCAATATTTGTTTCTCATATAGAGAAAGTTATGAAGTTTAATCGATTACGTCCATCGCCCGATGTCACTCGCGACGAATGGCTGTCGCCCTTTACGCAGGATTCTTACTCCGGAATGGGGGAAATCGGATATCGGCAAAAGGGGAGGAATTTGGAGGAACTGCTGGAAAAGCAGGCAGACATGATAAGATATCTGAAGGATCACAACGTAAAGCTAAGTCATAGAATAATGCTATTAGCGTCTCAACACAGAGCGACAGAGACATAAAGCAAAACTGATTACATATCTCTTTTATGAAATTAACGCTTATTATCTATAATAATAGTGACATTATATCAGAGATTAGAATTATAATTTTTTAAATGTGATACATATGACATGTCTTTTAATGAATTCGATTGATTCGATCACAGATGTCTGTACTATTACTAGATCACTAACTTCGACAAAAACGCTGTAAACGATCGGGTATCCGGTTGAGTTTAATAGCCGCTTCAATTATTTTGCACATAAACAACACATACACATCATACACATATATTGTCGCCATTAAATCAACTCAGAAATTAGCGATCTAATACTAGTATCTATGGATTCGATGCATTAGATATAATAACTGAATTTCAGTACACAATACATGTACATATATTTAGAAATTAATTCCATTATTACTGCATAAGTTTGCTAAAAGATATTTCATAACTGTAATTTAATTTTAATTTAGTTTAATTAATCATTGTGATTGGTAAAATACATGTTTTAAACTATATAAAATATGTTTTTTTATAATGCTGTTTAAAGCATGTTTAAAACATTAAAGACATGTTTAAAAAAAAACATTACGTCTTACTTATTTTTAAAACATTAGTCTTTGCCAAGCTTTAGTCAGTCATAAGTTCTTTCTGTTTCATATCTTTGGAACATATATCTATCTGTTGCATGAAGTATATTACTTTTATATCTATTTGTATCTTATCACTGTATAGATTTATTATAAATATATAACAGATCTGAGTTTAAAAAATGTCATTATTTAATACTTATATATCATATAATAAGACGTTACCAAAAAAAATTTATTAGAAATCATATTAAGAATAACATTTTTTTAAATATAGGAACATTTATTAATATGTCAATAACAAAATGCTTGAGGAAGAGGAGGTATTACTGCGAAAAAAATGCAACTATACGTTCATTGTCAACTCAATAAAATATATGTATATTTTTTCCAGTAGCAACCATCATTTTACATACATTATTATTTTGCATACATGGGGCTATATAAATAATTAGTCAAGCAGCGGTTTCTCTTAATAAAACTCAACAGCGTGTCGTATCTCACACGTTACGATTACATTGAAAATTTACATATAAATCTCGATTACGTTTATATTAACTCGGTGTGATATAATATTACATTGCATTTTCTTGAGTCTCAAAAGCAGCCATTTTCCATTGCAACGGTAGAAAGCGAAACCGAGCTAAAATATCGAGCTAAATTATGGAGCTATGTTTTTCCTGCTCGCAATATTTACTCGCGCGAAATCAAAATCGCGTCTTTTCTCAGCATTTCATTACAAACATTATGATAAATGTATATATCATATACAGTCACCTCTATAACATGCAGTCATACGAATAATATAAGTAAAAACTACATATGGTGACATAGGTTTATACGTATCTGTAGTTCTCTTAAATATAATATTATAGTAACGTCCATAGGAATCTCGCAGCAGCAAAAATAATGCAGATTTTTCGTTTTGCATTCGTTCCACGCGCTACTTCCGCAGTCTTCCCGAGTATGTTGGAGAAATTATTGCCTCGCAATATCACTTTCAGTCGCGAAATTTCCTTTAAAGCATCTTACGTTTCTGAGCAGCTAAAATCATTCCCTTCTATTTCTTACATATTCTAGGATTCTCTTCTTAGTTTATATACATTGTGCCAGTCGATGATAGCGATCAAGATATCTTTTTTGAAGTTTCTTTATCGCATCTGTTCTCAAGAAACTAAAATTATTCACATATATTAATAATTTCTATAAAAAGAGTGTAATCTATGTTCTATCTTTTTAAATATCTCGGTAATATAAAGTTTCATTAAGATTTAGAGTCGTTTTCCTACATAATCGTACTGGAAAAACACAATGTGAGCGATCGTTATTTCAGTCAGTGAGAGAAGCGAGAGAACGATCGACAATTCAGTTCGAATTGGCGATTTATTTTATGACGTCTTACGAATTAAACGAGGAAAAGATGTCCTGATTGTCGATTGGCGTAGGCTGGCACAATGTGCAATAATAGACATCTTTACACTAGAGCTATATTATTTAACACAGGTCTACTTATATGTCTCTTTAAGTATGTATATATAAGTCTATATAAATGCCTAATAATACCTATGTCATCTGGATGCGGGTCTGACGGGGCACGTGTGAAAAATTAGCAGAGATGTTATCGAGACTTAAATCCATTTTATACTCTATAATAAAATGAACGAAATTAAGTAGCATTATTTCTGCATCTTTTTCTTTTAGTTCTAGCGATTCCTCTCGATCTTCGTAAGACAAATTCGAATGTACCGATAATTGAGCTAACATTTTGTGTCCTTTTCTTATAGTTTTAATTACAATCTAATTGTAAAATTAATTCTATAATCATTAATATTTTGTTCGTACATATTTTTATAAACAATTTTTTTATTAATTTAATATTATATATATTGTTAATACATCTTACAATCTTTTATTGGCAACATTAATTATTTGAAATTAGATTATTTGAAATGAAATTTTTGAAATATTCTTCAAGAAAGAAGATATGTCTTTTAGTTTAATGGTTCCGCAATTCTACTCACGTAATCGTGACTAAGAGTTGAGACTGCGTCACAGAAAGAAGTACAGAAAGTCTCTAATCAGGATTAATTGATGACAATCGATCGGTACAGCCGGGCCTCGTTATACATGTGTAATGGAAAGAAATCTATTTACAAAAGAGTCACGTCTTCTCCGTCAGACCCGATAGATTCGCCTTTATCGTACACGTATATTTACGATATTACAAAACTAGCTTACACTTATATGGAACACTCAACTCTACAACACTATATAAAACGTAGAAGCTTGTACACCCCGTTGTGTCTCGAGAGTAGGCTACGTGTGTTTGTGTACGACACCATATCCACTCCAGCACCTGCGTTTCCTCCGCGAAACGACGGCGCGATTGTCTCTTGCCGCTGTATCCGAATCTCGTGAAATTATATCGGAAATTTTTTCTCTCTCTCTCTCTCTCTCTCTCTCTCCTTCTCTCGGCCCACTCGCATCTCTTTTTTCATTTTTTTTCTTTTATTAAGACTTCACTGCAAAATTTGTACTACGCTTAGGCCAGCCGTTGCTGCTGAGCTAGTTCGAACGGGCGGTAGTTCCCTGTTCCACGCGCTGTGAACAATACGCAACTGCGGCTTTCGCGCACGTTCCCCATAAAAGTGTTCCTCATTATTGTCGTGTCTAGTGTTTTTTTTTATTCAGACTTTGTTGCAAACAAGGGTTAAATAAGGATGATCCCTTTCACGGGAGACTGATTACAGTATCCTTCGGTTGTCGATCTTGTCAGTCGGGCTTTAATTCGATCTCGTGAAATCAGATGACGTATAGAAAGACTTCGAATGTGTTACATATTACATTGATGGAATAATGCACTCGATGGCGCATCTCAAACGGTATATAGATACTTTGTTGAATCACAAATAAAATTATAATAACCCAGACGACACAAAATCTAAAATCATGGTATATAAAATGTTTTGGGCTCTGCGTTCAA